GACAATCATTGTTGAGTTAGATGGTTCTGAGGTAGTATTGAAATACAGGGGAGGAGAGAAAGAAAGGCAAAAGAGCCTAGAAAAATTCTACATGCATGTTGTTTTGCACATGTATACTCTAGCTCTATATAGCTCTACATTCAATAAGCAAAAATTGAAATTATAGATGATAAATTATGGGTGTGATTGATACCAAAAAAGTACCTTTCAATCTCAATTAAGTAACTCATATTTGTAGAGAAGGACTTGGTACTACATCAAAAACTGACTGAAATTCCTGTAATTTTTATTTATTATCTAAGATAACTTTGTTATTTATGTAACTACCTTTAAAACCAATAGCCATTACAAATTTCAGTGGTTGGTGGTAAAAAGACATCTATTCTAGAGACATTTGTATTTCAGTAGGAATTTCCAGAGACAGAAAAGCAAAAAAATTCTCATGGAAGAATTTAAATCCTAAGGAAAAGGCATGGGATAATTTTAAGGTTTGGAGTTTTCTGTTACACTGAAGCACTAACAGGAGGGTGATCACTCCTTGTGGAACGTCGGCCCTGGTTATCTGGAGTACCAGCAAATGACTATTTTCTGACTTAAAGAGTAAGAGTTGGGATCAGTGCAGTGGGTCCCAGCAACCAGAGTCCAGCCAAATTTCGGACAGACTTCCTATTTTATCAAAATGACATACCTTCTCTCGTTTTTCTTCTGGGTGAAATCTACTTAACTGAAGATAACACAAGCTAGTAATGTGTCAAATTGCCAAATTGCTATTAAAATGTATTCAGATAGAATGTTCATAAAGAAATATGCTCTTATATTAATGTCATATTGACTGAATGTTTCCTATTCTGAATTTCTCAACCCTTTTCTAATATCTCTAACTGAATTATGATGTGCATGAACAGTATTAGGTGACAAAGAAATCATAAAACTTATTCTAATCCTCTGTCTCTCAAAGATTTAATTCCCTATCTGACAATCTATGCCTCTTCTTCATAGTAACAGGTAGATTAATGTGTACTGAAGAAGAACGTGGCTTACAGGGCTTTCATGGCTTCTTAAAATATTCAGCTGAATTAACACTTGAAATTCTACTAGAAACATAAAAACAAATTTGTGAGGAAAGACAAGTGGGTGGGATATCTGTTAAATCAGGAAATTACTTGACAATTGAGAAATTACACTTAGAGAAAAGGAATCAATTCAAATTGAGAAAGAAGAGGACCTGGGTGCTTTGCCTTAAGTTTCTTTTAGTATAAGGTAGAAAAATAATACAATATAGAAAAGAATTGTGAGGAAAGACAAGTGGGTGGGATATCTATTAAATCAGGAAATTACTTGACAATTGAGAAATTACACTTAGAGAAAAGGAATCAATTCAAATTGAGAAAGAAGAGGACTCGGGTGCTTTGCCTTAAGTTTCTTTTAGTATAAGGTAGAAAAATAATACAATATAGAAAAGAAAATTTAATATTCAAGTGCCATTAATACAGATTGCCTTTACAGTGGAGAAGAGTTGTGAATCTGTATGCTTTCCATAAGAAGATACTCAATGTGAAATCAGTGCGACAGTGGAGGACATGGCCTAGGATTAAGCATGAATGTTGCTAGGAAAATGAATATGATTCTTCCCACACAAATTGCAGCATCATTATGCTGCTGGTCAGAGGCAATATGCTCATGGTCCAATCATAAATATGGTCAATACACAAATATGGTCAATGCCCCAAGAGTACAATTGCTGGTCATTTGATAGTTCCATATTTCTTGTTTGTTTTTTGTTTTTAAGAAAATGCTTAATTGTTTTCAAGAGTGGCTATGCCATTTTACATTCCTACCAGCAATTCATCGAGTGATCCAGTTACTCTTAATACTCACTAGCATTTGGTGTTGTCACTATTTTTTATTTTAGCCATTCTGACATGTTTGTAATAAAATCTCATTTTTGTTTTAATCTTTACTTCCCATATAGTTAATTACGATGAGTATCTTTTCACGTGCTTATTTGCCATCTGTATATATTCTCTTTGATATTCGTGTATTTTTCCCATTTTCTAATTGGGTTGTTTATTGTTTTACTGTTGAATTTTGAGAGTACTTCTTTATATATATTCCAGTTATTAGTTATTTGTCAGAAATATAGTTTGCAATTATATTCTTGCATTCTGTAGCTTGTCTTTTTTTATCCTCCTAACAGGGTCTTTTGCAGACTTAAGTTTTATTTTGATGATGTCCAACTTACCAATTTTTATTTTATGGATCATGCTTTTGGTGTCAACTCTAAGAACTCTATGCCTAGTTCTAGATTCTGCAGATTTTTTTCTCTTGTTTTTTGTAATAATGCTTAAATACTTGCATTTAATCCTTCCAAATTTAATCCTCCAAAATCTTTATTTCCAAATTAGCCAGCCAAATTTAATCCTCCAAAATCTTTATTTCCAAGTTAGCCAGAGTACAATGAACTGTGTCCTTCCAAAATTCGTATGTTGAAATCCTAACCCCCCAATGTGACTGAAATAGGTCCTTTATGGAAGTAATTAATGTGAAATGAGGTAATAATGGAAGGACCATGATGGGATAAGAAGAGACACCAGAGAAGTCACTTCCTCTCTGCTGAGCGAGAACACACGGCAAAGGTAGCAGTCTGCAAGCCAGGAAGAGGGCCCTCACCAGAACCCAACCACACTGGCACCGTGATCTCAGACTTTTATCCTCCAGAATGATGAGAAAATTAATTTCTGTTGTTTAAGCCTCTTAGCCTACAGTATTTTATCTCAGCAGCCCAAGCTGAAAAATTCTTTTAAAACATAAGTCACACCATGACATCCCTTTGAGTAGACTGCCCTTTGCCCCCCTGCAATAGTGCCCCAATCCTCTCAGAATAATAGCCTAACCATCCTAGCAATTACCTTCAGGGGTCTTTAAGTTTTGGCTTCTTTCATTTTTAGGCCCATTTCCTATTACTTTCCCCACACATCATTTCCTTCAACCACACTGGTCTTCTCCTGAATTTCTGAACCCAGCAGGCATGTTCTCATCTCAGGGATCTGCACTAGCTATTCCTTCCACTGGAATTCTCTTTCCCCCGATTCTAGCATGGCTCACTCCTCACTTCCCTCGAGCCTTTGCTCGAATGTCATCTTTTCAATGAGCATTACTTCAATCATATGCTTGAAATTACACGCAAAATCCCCTTCCTCCCCCACCAAAATGCACTGATGATCTTTCCTTCCCTGGTATGTATTTTTTTCATAGCACTTACACCCTTCTAACAAATCACGTAATTTACATATTT